GATCCACTCTTATTATTCTAATCAATGGGCGTATATATCTATAACTTACTTGCTAATGGGCAATGTATGCATAAATTCATTGGGAAATAGAAAAGATTTTTATTAGTGTCTTCACATGAGCTTTCCAACCCCATGCCATTGTATCCCCGAAAGGAATCAGAACACCATAATTCTTCTTAAAAATGTTCGTTTGTTATGTGTTTTTATGGACAATGTTAAGTTCGCATTCTAACAGTTGGAGCTTGTCTGTTTGCGATAGAATGAAGGCAACATGTCCTTTTTTTTAAAGGTTTTAAGGACAAAAGCCAAGTGGAAAAATGATTTGGATTTGGTTTGTGTTTTTATTAGGAGAGAGATAATAAGTGGACCCTCATCCAAGGAGACACTCATCACCTTTACACCTTTTGTTTTGAAAGGGTTTTGAACATTTGTTAAGTGTTTTTGGATTTTTGATCGAGAAAATATTTTAGTCTTAAAGAGATTCAATGCAGAGAGAAAAGAAGTCTAAAGGGAGACTTGAAATCTTAATGTTGTCATAAAAATGGACTTAATGTTAAGATTGAAAGGAATCTAACCTAATGTTGGCATGCTATGATGGACTTAGAGTTTGGATTGAAATAAGGAACTTTTATCCTAATGTTTTCATGCTTGAATTAAAGTCCTAATGTCTATCTTAATTCAAATCTTAATCAAGAATTAAGATGAATCAAGTGAGCCTAAGGGAACATGTGAGTCACACAAGCAATGAACAAACAATTGAATGAATTCAAACAAAGAAAATTGACATGTTTATCAATAAAAAGTTATGACAAAAGGATGGAAGATGAAAGCACAATTTGATGAAAAGATTAATAAAACATGTCATGGTTTATGGTCAAAAGGAGTTTATTAAGTAAATACATCCTTAAAGATAGGTAAACTTATAAGATATGGACAAATACCTAGGAGAAAATCAAGCATGGTAAACATATGAAGGTTAGATTATGTTTATTAAAGGTTAGGAAGATACATGTATATATAATTAAGACATGGTCAAACTCAAAGCAAATATGCATCAAGTGTTTATTAATCAAGCAAGAAACAAACATCAAACAAGTTACATGCATCAAAATTAAAGGGAATAGTCATGGAGTATATTAGGGTTTTTTAAATAGTAAACACAAAATTCATCCATTAAAGTGTACATACTCTAGATGTAAATCAAAATTAATCATGTCAACAACACCAAATGAGACTCAATCAAAGAAGACTATGGTCACATGAGCACAAATGATTGAGTGAGTAGAATCAATCAAAAGATCATCACAAAAGTCTTTTTAAAAAAACACCTAAAAAGGACTAGTTTTAAATCAAATGAAAAAGGGTAAAATAAATATTATTTTTTGAGAATTTTTCATATATTCACAAAATAGAAAGGATAAATAAGAAGTATGAAAAAAATCAGCTCAAAAGAATTTAATTTGCCTATTGAAATAATCAAGTGAAAGTTGAAGAAAAAAAGAGCAAAATAAATAAGTGCTAAAAAAATAGGGGATGGGCTGCCAAGGTTTGGACCTGCGCCCTCATGTGTGCCATACAAAATACTTACCACTGGACCACTGCTTGCGTGTTGATAACAAACACAAACACATGATTATATTTGAAACAAGTTACTGAATGCAACAAAACAATAATAAAAAAAGATGAAAAATGAAAAAAGGGGATTCATATTCGTTCGAATCCGCGCCCTTATTTATGCAAAGACCTGAAAACGCATGCCCTAACCACTTGGGTGGTGACACATCCGTTGATTAAAACACACCCATTTAATTAAGTAGCAAAACCAGTTCCCAGAATTCAAAAATGGAAAACACGCGCCACCTCATCATCTTCAACCTTGAGCTTTTAACAACAACAACAACCATGGTACTCATGCTAACTTCTTCATTTCTCAACCATTTTTAAAATGTAAAGATCAAAATCACTAAGAGTTAAACAAGCAACTCAATGGTACAATTTAAACAAACTAAAAATCAAAGATAAATAAACACGATCCCAGTAGAAACAGAACCAAACCCTAACGTTCAGTTCTTCGAAACTTCACATACAAGCATGACCAATGATAAATAATTACATGGTTTGTTTTAACACATTAGACTCTACATTATTTCTTCAGAAACCAAGCTTTAATGATGCATGAATGATGAGTTCCAAGTTCAAGAAAGCTTACCTATTGGAGAAAAGTCCAATACTTTTTCATGGTTCCAGATGCAAGGAAATGAGATGGTGAGATTGATTAGACCTCCCAGAATGTGTTTCAAATGATAAAAAAACACCTTGTAGCTTGCTTAAACTTTCTAACTAATTCAAAGTGCAAGCGTGTTTGGCCACGAGTTTTATAGAACAATGAGAGGTGTTTCAGTTGTGATTCAATGAATTCAACAATGCATATTTGTTGTACTGATGGTGAATATATGGTTCGTTTGCAAAGATATTGCAAGAGATGACAGTTTCAAAGATAAGGTTCTTCAAAGCTCAAAAATGAAGTTTTAAGAGGTTTATGTGGATTTTGAGTTTGAGTTGTTATTTTTGGTGTGTTCAAGGGTGTTTTGGACTTGAGAGGGCCTCTCTATTTATAGGGAAAGATTGATAGAAGTGGAGCGTATCAGGTTTGACATATATGAAGGTTAAGTTTAGTTGGGTTTCAAATGAGAGTTTCATGAAATCACATGGTTCCAATGCAACGTTGCTGGTTTTTTTGGACAATAGGGAGGCTTGTAAGGATTGCTTCTAAGCTTGTGCATGTAGTGTGATCAGAGGTATGGTCTCAATGCATTGACATTTCATTAAAGTCATCTTTATGAGAATGGAAATAAAACTTTATGCTAAAAATGGAATAATTCAATGAACAAAGCCCTCAATCGCTTGGTTAATGCAACAATGATCTGTGTAAAACTCAAGTTTTGTTGTAAATTAAAAGCATCATAGCCCTATAATCCGTGATTATGCAGATACTCTTGGATTGCATAGGTTTGATGCATAACTTTGGACATGAACATGGTTTTAAAACAAACTTAGCATAGCAACTTCACCTCTTCGATTCTCCTATCTCAAGCATCATATTTTCATGATCTTGGACATTTTGGAAATCTTGAAACATCCTCTAAAACTTTCATGTTGACCACTTTCTTTGAGAGAGAGAGAGAGAGAGAGAGAGAGAGAGAGAGAGAGAAATTATCACAAATATAGAGTCATCCATATTTAGGACTCTCACCAATATAACCTTATATAGTTACTTAAGCATGAGGACTTGTAAAGGGAGAAGTTTTTAAGGCTTCTTTTAGGTCTCGTCCTGTAGTTGAGGACAATCCCTTCGATAAGGGACAAGTTCAATATTTGGAACGTACCCCTTTTAGATGGGAGGTGAGTCCCTTAGCTTGGGACAGGTTTTTCAATTGAAGGTGGCCTTTTTATGGGAAGGTGAGTCCCTCAGCTTGGGACAAGTCTCTCAGTTGATGTTATCCTTTTTAATGGAATGTGATTCCCTTGGCTAAAGGGGTGACCTTCTTAATGGTAGGCGAGATGATGTGGGAACAAATTGTCAATGAGAGGTGAGTCGCCATTTCTGGCCAGATGTTTCTGGGTAAACAAACATTAGTGGAAAATGTTGGGGTCCCCTTTATTGACTAAAGACCTCAAAACGTCAGTCAATTATGAAAGTTTAATGGCTTGGTGAAGGAAGAAAGTGTAGCATTTAATGTAGATAATGATGGTTTTCCTAGGAAATCCAAATCAATTCATTTTCCTTACACGTGTCTTCTAGGTGTAGTAACTTTTCCATTCCTTACGGTAATTACTCCCTTGAGTGGACACATAATTTCGCATTTGGACTTTTACAAAAAGAGTTTGTTAACTGTTTTAGAAGACCTTTTTTCTTCTTCCTTTAAAAGGAAAAAAATAGAGGAAAAGAGGTGACATTTACTCCTTTTCTTGGGGTATAAACGTTGTCATCCATGCCCCTTTTTTTCTCTTCTTCTTGTCCAGAGTTAATGGCCAAAAGAAACTCAAAACGTGTTCACGTTCAAGACATAATGTCCGTTTATGCTAGTCCTGACGTGATAAGTAAGTTTCACGTAGGCATTGAATTTTCCAGCACGAGGCATGAAGAGAATATGGTCCTTGAACCCTGTTCAGTAACAGAGAGAGCCAACATGGACACCACTGGTGAGGCCTATAACCCTTACTTTTATTTTTATCTTCCCGTTATTCATGAGTTAGGGTCCACAACTTATCAACGGGTTAGACACAAGCGTTCTTTCCCTCATCGAGGAAGAGATAAAAAATTGAAAGTAAATTCATATTTAAATTAAAAATTAAAAATCACAACTTTAAATATAAAAAAAAAACTACTTTAATAAGATTAAACACGTCAAAATCAATTTTACATCTTTAAAATTATTATTTCAAAAACGAAAAAAATATATTCTTAATCACATAACGACAAATTCACAATTACTAAAGAAATATATAAATTAAATAGAGAAAATATGTTTTACTAAAATATCTTTTTGTATTTTTAGGTTATCATTTTTATTTTTATGAAAATAAAAAAACAGAATATATTAAATTGTGAGTGATTGAAAGAATATGAATTAAAGGAAATAATTAAAAATAATAGTTAACACTTTATTCTTAAAATTCTAAAACTAAGAAAAGTTTATATATTTATTTAGTTTAAAATTTGGTCCAAATATATTAATAAAAGGTTCATTTATACTTGAGAGAGAAAAGTATTAAAAATTGAAAGGGGGTGAATAACTTTAACAAGTTTCTTTTTTTACAAATGAGTTGGTAATTTTAGAGAGGAGAAATGAACAGTTTCTTGAGACTCATTATATATACACGTATTGTGTGGTTCAGCTTAGACGCACAAATGTCATAGTTTGCTATAATATATAATATTCTGAAACTTGCACTATATATATTTAAGTGAAGAGATAGTATAATACATATAGAATAAGATGTGGAGGCTGAAGATAGCAGATGGTGGAAATGACCCAAACATATTCAGCACAAATAACTTTGTAGGGAGACAAACATGGGAGTTTGATCCTAATGCTGGTACTTCTGAAGAGAGAGCTCAAGTTGAAGCTGCTCGTCAACATTTCTATGATAATCGCTTCAAGGTTAAGGCCTGCAGTGATCTTCTTTTGCGTTTTCAGGTGTGTTTTTCTTTTGAAATCTAAGTTTTTTATTCAAAGTTTTTCTTTGCTTCGTAAACAAAAAATAAAATAAAAATATATTCCTTTGAAAACTACATATGTTTTAGTCTGCATCTTATATTTAAAATAGAAGGAAACTATTTTTTACTTTCACAACTGTACCACTCACTCACTGAAATATTATTTAGCAAAATATTAAAATGTATGAATGTATACTACAAATTTGTAACTGATGTGTATGATCATCAAAATAAATTAAGAGTCAATGGACAAGTTTTAACTTAATATAAATGTTTTAAATTTAAGGATATCATTCATCGTAACTAATTATAAGAAAAGTTATTAAAAAAATTTAAAATTAACAATTTGAGTAGAAGTATAATTTGAATATAATATTACAGAGAAAGTTGATTCAAATAATTGACCTCACTTAATAGGATAGGATTTAATTTTTGTTTACTGTTATTCATAAATTAATATAACATATTTTTCATGTTTTTTTTGTTTTGTATATGGAGATTCTGAGAGAAAATCACTTTAAACAAACGATAGCAAGTGTAAAAATCAAAGATGGAGAGGAAATATCAGAAGAAAAAGTCACAATTACGTTAAAAAGAGCCATTCATCATCTCTCTGCACTTCAATCAAGCGATGGTCATTGGCCTGCTCTAAATGCCGGTCCTTTATTTTATTTTCCTCCATTGGTTAGTACTTTTACCTCCACTATACTACTTCTCTATACTAGAAATGAACATAGAAATTCAAAGTTAGAATATTGTTTATGAAATTGAAAAAAAAAGGAGTACTGAGTAATTGAAATACAGAAATATCTTCTTTTTAAATTCTCAATTTTTATTATAGGCATAAAATTAAAATTATATAACATGTAAATTATTAAATAGTAAAATAAAGCATGCCGCTGGCTTTATTTATACAAAAAAAATTTCTATATATAAAATTCAATTTCAATTTGCTAATGCACTAACCAATTAATTTTTCCACATACTTAAAATATTGCAGGTCTTTTGTATGTATGTCATAGGACATCTCGATTCGATGTTTTCCGAAGAATATCAAAAAGAGATTCTTCATTACATATATTGTCATCAGGTATCGTTGACAGTTAAACATTCAAATAGTATGGATTGAGAATATGTTCATATATGAATGAGAGACATCACCTAAATTTTAAGATGGTATGTCAAACTTATCCAAGATATGTTTGGCCTTTTGTTATGAACCACTCGAGTCATCATATATGAATTATGAATGGGAGACATCACTTACCTTATACCAAGATGATAGTGTAGGATTAAACTAGACCCGGTCTAAGTTTTAAGATGGTATTTCAAACTTATCCAAGATATGTTTGGCCTTTTGTTATGAACCACTCGAGGCAGGTTGTAGATGTCCAATTCAAAGCATGAGAGAATGTGTTGATTAAAGTCTCAAATATGATGAGATAGGGTATCAAAAGTGTGCTTAAAAGTGAGAGAATTCTCTCACCTTACAAGACGTTTCAATAGGTTTGTGTTAAGCCTAATCTTTTTATTTTTATTTTTAGGCGTGCAACATATCTCACCTTATAAGTAGGTTATATAGAGTCGAATTATGCTTAACCTAAATATTAATTAACTTGGTCATTTTTCTCAACCATGAACAATTTGAAGTGTATTCATGCAAAAAAAAAAAAAAAAAACTAACATTCAATGTTGATCATGATGCATTTTCATTTGAAGAATGAAGATGGAGGGTGGGGATTACATGTTGAGGGTCATAGTGTCATGTTTTGCACTGTAATGAATTACATATCTCTACGAATACTTGGAGAAGGTCCAAATGGAGGTAAAGAAAATGCTTGTTCTAGAGCAAGAAAATGGATTCATGATCATGGCGGTGTGACTCATGTATCTTCATGGGGAAAATTTTGGCTTTCGGTAACATTTTATCTAATATAAAATATGAGTATGCACAAAATTGTATACCTATATATATTTACTAATTTGATTGAATATTAAAACAATACAGATACTTGGTATCTTTGATTGGTGTGCAAGCTATCCAATGCCGCCAGAGTTTTGGATGCTCCCCTCATTTCTTCTTAAGCATTCAGGTTTAAATTATATATATAAATTAATAATGGATATAAAAAAATAAATGATTGAATTGAGTGTTTATTATATCTCATTTTTATTTTATACTAAATACAGCTAGAATGTTGTGTTATTGTCGATTGGTATACATGCCTATGTCTTACTTGTATGGAAAGAGATTTGTGGGTCCAATCACACCACTCATATTAAAGTTGAGAAAAGAACTTCTGCCTCAACCTTATGAAAAAGTTAATTGGCCAAAAATACGTCACCTATGTGCAAAGGTAAGGGATATAATCTTTGATTAACTACAACATGTGGTTATGCATATCCTATTTATAATGGGATTGATAATTTTCCATTTCATGTATTACATGCAAGAAGGTCTCTTTTGTAATTGGTTTTAACTATATCTTGTACTCTTGGTGTTAAAAATGCAGGAAGATCTTTATTATCCCCATCCTTTGATACAAGATCTAATGTGGGATAGTTTCTACATTTTCATGGAGCCACTTTTGACTCATTGGCCGTTTAACAAGTTGGTTAGAGAAAAAGCCCTCCAAACAGTAATGAAACATATTCATTATGAAGATGAAAATAGTCGATACATAACTATTGGGTGTGTGGAAAAGGTAGTCCTCATAATAATGAAAATTTTGTATATAATAGGGATTATTCATTCAAATGAATGTAATAAAAAATTCCTGTTAGGTTTTGTGCATACTAGCTTGTTGGGTGGAGGATCCAAATGGAGATGCATTCAAGAAACATCTTGCTAGGCTTCCAGATTATTTATGGGTTTCAGAAGATGGAATGACCCTACATGTATAAATTATATTGCAAGTTAACTATTAGAATATGAGCACTATTATTACTTCGTCACATATAAATGCACCTATTTTGATAATGCAGAGTTTTGGGAGCCAAACATGGGATACTAGTTTGATCATTCAAGCTTTGCTTGCCACGGACCTAATTGAAGATATTGGTCTAACACTTGCAAAAGGACATGAATTCATTAAGAAGTCTCAGGTGCTTTTAATTTTTGGAGTATAAACTTTCTGATTTATTTTTGTATAAAATTACTTATTATGCACACACTCTTACACGTTACAAAATTTGTATTAGCTATAACCTGTACAAATATATCATTCTAATTATATACGACACATTTGTCATTAAGTGCAAAGTTAGTGTTCATAAAATTATAGGACAATATGTGTGCTACTAATCAATTTACAGGTTAGGGACAACCCTTCAGGAGATTTTAAGAGCATGTATCGACATATCTCTAAAGGATCATGGACCTTCTCTGATCAAGATCATGGATGGCAAGTTTCTGATTGCACCGCAGAAGGTTTAAAGGTAACTGACTAATTAACTATATAGGTGAGTATAGTATGCTTTTATAATCATAATCAAAATACAAATATTTCTTGATGAATTTTCTGCTTGTATTAGTGTTGTCTACTTTTGTCAATGTTGCCTTCGGAGATTGTAGGAGAAAAGGTGAAACCTGAAATGTTATATGACTCAGTCAATATCTTATTATCACTTCAGGCAAGTACTATATACTATCTCTCCATTCTTTTGTTTAAATTTTTATTTTATATTTTAAATCGATATTACTTTCTCTCATGTGTAAAGTTTAAAGTGAAAATTACTATTGTTTTTGACAAAAATATTCTTTACTATTTATTATAAAGAGAGAAATATTCTTAAAAATGACACATCGTCATTTTTTAAATCTAATGTCAACCAAAAGCATGTGGTTGAACTTAGAGTACATTGAACATTAATGTTCAATGTTCTTATGCAAGATGCATTGTTATTACAGAGTAAAAAGGGTGGTTTACCAGCTTGGGAGCCATTAGAAGCTGTAGAATGGTTGGAAGTAAGTATTAAGATATTAGTTAATGATCAAATAATTGGAATACTTGTTAAACCTTACATTAATTTTTCTATATATGAATGAGTAAAATAATATATAGATATGTTACCAATTTACAGCTATTCAATCCAATAGAATTTCTGGAAGATGCTGTAGTTGAGCGTGAATATGTTGAATGTACTGCATCATCAATTCAAGCTTTAGTTTTGTTTAAAAAATTATATCCTGAACACAGAAAAGAAGAGGTAGAGAATTTCATTGCAAATGCAGTTCGATTCCTTGAAGATAAACAAACAAGTGATGGTTCGTGGTATGGAAATTGGGGAATTTGCTTCACTTATGGTTCTTGGTTTGCACTTAGTGGTCTAGCAGCTGCTGGCAAGACTTATGACAATTGTTTCGCCATTCGCAAAGCTGTTAAGTTTTTGCTTTCAACACAGAGAGAGGATGGTGGGTGGGGGGAGAGCCATCTTTCCTGTTCAACAAAGGTTCGTCGTTAAGGCATTGCATGGAATATTTTCATAGTGCTTAGAAAATATTTTAGAAATTCGGCTCATGTGGTAGATATTTGAGACCCTGGTCATTTGGTCAATGCCTTTAATAGAGATCTCATTCATCTAGATAAGTTAATTCATGCAATTAGACGAGGAAATATCTTAAGTTTGTAAACAGAATATTCAAAAGATCTATGCACACATACATTATAATATGAGTGAAAACAATGCAGATATATGTACCTCTTGAGAGAAGTCAATCAAATCTTGTTCAGACATCATGGGCTATTATGGGTTTAATTCATGCAGGCCAGGTATGATTATTTTTATTGTAAATTAAAATTCAAAATGCTTAGTTACTACTCTAACTATTAATAAATCTTAGATTATGATTATTTTGTGTGTATGTATAGGTGGAGAGAGACCCCACTCCTCTTCATCATGCTGTAAAGTTGATCATCAATTTCCAACAAGAAGAGGGTGATTGGCCTCAACAGGTTCATCTCAATTGTTTGATTTTGATATTATGGCTCTTACATATTTATGCTTAATTCAAAATAGGAAAAACTGATTGTGATTTTCTTTTAATATCGAAAGTTATGCTAAGTGTGATGAAGTGAACGAGAATTTAAAAAATATAATGCAATAAGATCAATATACAAGGAACATATATTATGGTAAAAAAAAATATATTGATGGACTAATTAAAACTTTATTTATGTCATAACAGGAACTTACGGGAGTATTCATGAAAAATTGCATGATGCATTATGCAATGTATAGAGATATTTTTCCAACATGGGCCTTAGCTGAATATCGTAGACGAATTCTGTTGACTTCCCCTGCCGCTAGAAATGAAGCACTGAGCTGAGCATACAAAGGAAAAGTATGTCAATAAAGAATCAAGCAAAGACTATTCAACTTCAATTAAACTATATATAAAAGCAAATACATCGTTATGCTTTAGGGCGTGTTTAGTTCTTCAAGAATAAAAATTAATTTTGACCAAAAGTAAGTAAAATGTAAAAGAATTTATGTTTAGATATATTTATATAAGCGCTAATTGAATAACAATAAAAGAAAAACAAATCAAATTTAAGCTTAAAATGATTTCATTAGAATTATTCATATATGTCAAAATCAATTTAACACCCCTAATACTCTTTTATCACACACACTTGCCCAAAAACTCACTAATTCTACAATTTTAAAAAATATATATATTTGCCTACACATCCATCACTTTATATGTATTTATTTTTATGCAATTTTTTAAGCAATTAGTCATACTCTGACAAAATATTCGTTTTGGTTCTTTAAATATACTCTTGGATTTAGATTGTACCTTTAATTTTTTTTCATGTCAACTTGATCCCTTAATTTTCAAAACATTTCATTTTCATCCTTTTTGTCTAATTAGTGACGGAAAAATTTAGAAATCGGTCGCTAATTAGATAAAAAAGATTAAAATGAAATATTTTAAAAATTAATGGACTAAGTTGACATAAAAAAAATTAAGAGACCAATCTGAACGCAAGTTAAGGAACTAAAATGGATATTTTATCTATTCATCATATTTCTTTGAAGATTAACGGACTAGAAATTTCTCTTTCTATATGTTGTCGAGGGGAGGGGATTGTCTCCTTTGACATAACTCTCTCGTTCAATATGAGTCATTGACAATATATATATATATATATATATATATATATATATATATATATATATATATATATATATATATATATATATATATATATATATATATATATATATATATATATATATATATATATATATATATATATATATATATATATATATATATATATATATATATATATATATATATATATATATATATAAAATCTAAGAATGAAGATTAACGCAAGAGAGAAATCTAGTGAAAATCCACTAGAGGGGATCTATCTCCGTTGTTGAAGATTATATCTGACATCTTTCATTTAATACTTGACAATATCTAACACCCCTGTGTAATTGGTTTAAACGCAATTAAATGGTGAAGTTTTTCACAATCATGATTTGTATTCTAAAGTGTTCTATGACACCGGTTCTAAAGTTAGGAGTTCATTAAGAATCTATAACTTAAGTGTTCAAGGGAGTGACAAATGGATGGTGACTCCTGATATGGATTATCCTATTGCTTCTAGATACAATGTGATATTGGTCTTATTTTTCCATAATTTTAACATCACATTCTTCTCACTTGTGTTAACTCCATCTAGGTGAGGAGTAGACATAAACCTATTGCATCTAATTTTGTCAATAATAATCACTACGTTCAATTGAAGTTGAAGCATGATTGTCCATTGTCTTCCATCACTAAACATTGGTGAGAGAACTGTAGTGAATATACAAGAGAATGGGAAACACCTCATGCGTGACATATAATGAATTAGGAATATGAATATAATATTCAACTTAATTGTAATTATGTCACCACTTTTGTATAGTTAGGATTGCACTGACACTTTTTTATGGTCTGAATTGCACTTAAATTTTGTATGTTTTGAATTGCACTGACACTTTTGTATGGTTCGTAATAACTTAAAGCTTACATAAATATGCATCATATGTTGGTAACAAAAACACTCCAAAAATTAATCAATATTGATATATACCAGTTGTTTACTTCAAGGACATGAGGGCTCCTATTGAATTACGGGTCACAAAGAACACGTATCTAGTAGATCTGCAATACAAACTAGAGACTCTTTTACATTACAACGATAATTAAATAGTAGTTAAGATTGAGTATCGCTCACCCACGATTATAAATGAATGAAAGATGAGGTTCAATAAGTTTGAGCTGAAGACAGATGCAAATGCGAGGGTTTTGTGGAGTACATTTCACCGTTACACAACCAATGGTCCAATCGAGTTGGATACGACACTTGCAAGATCAACTAACAATATTCTTAAGATGATGATACGCCCTAAACTTCTGTTGGTGATGAAATATCATGTTCTATTTATGTTACGTTCATGTTATTTTTTATCAATGTCAAGTTTATGTTATGTTTGATTTATGTTAAGTTATATGTCAAGTTCATATTATGTTAATTTATGTCATGTTCCGCTATGTAATGACATTTTTTTTCAATAACACCAAAAAGAGTCATAACAACATGGAATGATTCACAATAAAAGAAAATAATGTCATAGAGTGTAAAGTTAAACTATCATAAGAAATCTAAACTGGTCCACCATGAGAAATGTGTGTTATTTGTGATGCCAAAGCATAAACCTCATCAAGAGGGTTTTCTAATCACACGAGATTATCAGATAGAACAACTATCATCTAAATCCCAATGTCGATCAACCACACCAAGTGGAGAAGGAGATGAAATGTCATCTGAAGTCCTCCAATGGACAAAGGTCCAATAACATATGTAAACTTGATTGAGTCACGAGAGATGATGTAAGGGTGTGATACTCTATAGTAAAACATATAATTTTAACATAACAAATTAAACCTAATAAATACATACAAAAAAATATTTAGACAAGAAATAGGCTCATGTTACCAACAAGCTTCCTTGTCTCAAATGTAGTTGCATCTCCAAGGGAATGGTATAGTAACTTCACTACATCACAACCCCATGCCCAACTATGAAAACCAAGATCAAGGAACATGGATTTGTATCTCACATCAATGTTGACATGCGACTTATCTTCCAAAATAGTGCATCCAATCAGATGCAACGTTCATACCTTGATGAGCTCTTGATGCATAGAATGCTCCATGAAGCGCTTAAGTCTCTCGGAGCCAAGAGGGACAAAAATTATCACCCTTGTTAAACCTAAATTCCTTTAATATCATCCCTTGTGTAACCCCCAATTATGTCTTTTCACTCATATTTTCAAGCTCAATTATCATAAATTGAGATGGAATATACTTAAGACATCAACCATGGTAATCATTGTCTCGCTAAATTCAAAATAAAATATAGATGTCTCATTATTCCATCATTCAATAAAAATAGATAAAAATGGAGCATCAAGCATTGTTAGCTAAAAATCCACCACCAGCAGGAAACCAATATCATCTACTAGTGTCTTATCCTCCTTTGGCATCTGCAGTGCAAAAAAATATCTTCTACTTCAAAATATGAGTATGGGTCTTTGATGGGGTGGGATATTGTAACAACTAAAGCATAAACCATAAGTTACTTTCGATTGATCATTAATACATAAAATCAACTTAAATTAAAATATTTTTCCTCTCCTGGACATAATCTAAATGCAACGTGATCAACATATCCAGTCAGCAATGCAAGGTCGGAGGGCCCTCTTGGGAACCCCTTATCTATAGAACCGTCGTGATCATCACCTATTTCAGCCTGATCAAACACCTATGTATTAACCTCTAGCTTAACATAATTGGTAAAAACTTATGGCTCATCATCATCGCCTCTAGAGCGATAATCTCTACCTATTATATGGCGGTAAGTATGTTCTCTTCAAGTCTCTTAGATCCTTATACAGTAAGAACTAGTGGGAACTACTTTACCCTCCCTAGTGCGTAAGTTACCATCAACATCATATGCAGCGTCTCCACCAAAACACTCTGCAACATCCCAAGCAAGTCGTTGCATTTTGGATCGCAATTTTCCTTCACTCCCCTATACATCAGTGGACTTATACATCTTTAGAATATCCACTAGATGACCTTCTCATACAATCACCTATACCTAAGCCTCACCATATATCACCAGCCCCCCTAACCACTCATCTCTCATCCTCGTCGAGTCACCTAGATACCTCTCGCTTACATACACCTGGACCATGGTCATTTGCAACATGAGGGAAATATTACAAACCTAGAAAACTCTTTAACCTGTATGTTATTATTGATAATCCGACCAGCTCCCCTCATCCCAAAAACCATAAACCCACCCTTTCTGGCCCTAATTGGAAATATGTAATGTAGTATGAATATAATTCCCTTATTGGAAATATCTAATGGATGTTTTAAGCATTACAAAGCTTGACTTGTAGGTGATGGCATGTCTCAAATTGTAGGAGTGGATTGTGATGAGATTCCAGCCCTATAGTGACACCTACGACCATTCGCATTGTTCTCACCATTGCACTCTCCAAGTCTTGTCCCGTTCATCAGTTAGAAGTCCATAATGTCGTTCTACATAGTGATCTTCATGAAACTATCTATATGCATCACCCACTGGGTTTCCGTGATCCTCATCACCTATATTATGTGTGCCGCTTTCACAAATCTCTATATGGTCTGAAGCAAGCACCTTGTGCCTGGTACCAACACTTCGCTGATTGTCTCCACTGTTGGATTTCACCACAGCACCTCTGATCACTCTCTCTTCATCTATCGACGTGGCTCCGACATGGCTTACATCTTACTTTATGTTGATGACATCATTCTCATCAGTTCGTCTCACGACCTACACAAATATATCATGGCGCTTCCTGCCTTCGAGTTTGCTATGAAGGATATAGGATTGTTGAGCTATTTTATTTGTGTAACACCCCTTCTAAATACCCCAATTAAAGGTAAAGATTAAAATCAGAGAAATAAAATTGCACGGAAGGGATGCCACAACACACATCACATTCCAAAGTTTTTAAAGAAAAACGGACAGGGTATGTTTGAAAGTATAAGCATTCCAACACAAAACAAACATACAATAAATATTTACTTCATTCTCTCGTGCAAACGCAACGGAGTTTCATAATTTCACATCATCTCCATTTATGGAGGAATCAAAACGTAATTCAAGGCATCAAGCCATCATAATTCACATAAGCATATGTTATCAAGTCTCACATATACAAAACATCATATACACGAATAAGGATTATATACATCATGATCCA